TATTTTGACAAAAACTGAATATCAGGTTTACTTTTGATACTTTCTGCCTTATAAAAAAGTCTGAGTGGGAATTATGCCTCCTTCTATTAAGTTATCTATAGTAATGAAATATAGGCTCTTTCATACAAACCAAGATCTTACCAGTATTTGTTGGCAGACTTTATATCTTATAGACCCAAAATACCTGATAATTGATTAATTCTTTAGATTTGACACACAAACTTCGAAATCACCTCATATCACAGCACTACTACCTCATCCCAAAGCAATGAAACTATAAAACTCACTTGAAGCTCCAACCCAGTACTCCTATACACAGAGCACTTTCATGATATGACCAGTTAGCCAGTACAGTAGGAAGAGTCTAAAAGCTGCTTTTGACCCTCCAGCATTCATCCAGCAACAGCTGTACAAAAGGCTGAGTTATAAACTCTTCACAGATCCAGAAATACCATGAGAGAAGAAATGTTACTGTGCAGATCACTGTCATTACACATAGTTTGCTAAGGAGCTAAATATACCCAAAGTTAATTTTCAAGCTAGGTTATTCTTCTGCATCAGTTTGTAGGGCACAGAATTTTAAAATGGAACAAACATATACTTGCTACGACTTTATCCATTAAGAAAGAACAAAATGTTGACTTTTTCAAAGTTTTAAATGCAATGAATATGTAAATGTTCACTTCAACACAATAAATAAACACTAGTCACCACAACCTATTTTCAACACAACTCTAGTCCCTGATTGCAAAGCACTTGGCTCCAAACAACCAATCAGTCCTTTCAAATCAATGGGGCAAGTGCATATGAGTAAGTGTTTACAAAATTAGTGCCAAAGTTAAAAATAACCCAGCAAATGACACCTTTATAATAGAATGGATCCTTTTTTCATTTAATTTTTTATGGTACTAATAACACTGACTTCACTGAAAAAAAAGTATTAAACTCCAACAACTTATTAGGACACAGGTCTTCACTTTAAGCAAATGTAAAAGACTGCAGAGTTCTGTCCTGCATTTGGTGCTATCCAAGCTTCTAATACTGTGAATGATAGAATAATGTATTTATTTTTATGCAAGTAGTAGATGATACTAAACTGTAGATGCTACAACTGCTCAGAGGGAAACAATTCAAAACAGACAAGTAAAACAGAGAAATTGTCTGATTCCAAGACAGCATGAAATTAGCTGAAGGCCAGTACACAGTACTAAGAGAGGAAAAAGCAAATGAACAATACAGTGACTTTGTTTTAACATGTGGTTTACAGGCTACAGACTCTATCTAAAATACTTTACTGCTGAGGGACAGCATCATTCCCGGAGGTATTACATAGGGTGCCATATACATGGCACATGACATAAGTGTTCCACTTGTATACAACTAATAGTTCCCCCGGTTACACTCATAAAGTCTCAGCTGGAGCACTCTGTTTAACATGGGAAATTAGACATCAGTAAAGATGTCTGTAAACTATTTATGAACTGGCACAAGTCCAAGAGAGAGCAACTGCAGTAACTCCAGGTGCTAGAAAATAGGACTTAGGAGTAAGTTAAATATTTTTTACTTTATTCTAAAAAAGAAAGAAAACCGCAGAAGTAGGAAAATGCATGGTAATAGTCCTTAAATTGATTACTTCTCACACACAGAGAGAAACAGTCATATTTCATGTATTTAGTTTGCAGAAATAAAGATTTAGGTCAGTCTTGGGGGAAGTGGGAAGCAGTCTAGTGGTGAGAACAGTAAAAACTGCAATTGGTTGCATAAGAATGCTGCAGAAATTACTATTACTAAGCATTTTAAAAACAGGTTAGCCAAACATTTGCCAGACAACTCATGTATATTTGATCCTAGAGCATTCAATTCACCTCTGAAGGTACCTTTCAGCTATACACAAAGGTTTTACTCAGACATTATTTCCTTAAACAAATTAATGTGTCTTATAATTAGTAGAGCTTTTACATGCACTATTTTGGGCTTAGCTGATGCTGAACACTGATCTAGTTCCTGTATTTTGATGCCACATAAACAGTATAATTTCTAATTAATTATTGTGACATTATCCTTCCATTCATATACACATGAGATCCAAAGGATAGACGGAGCGTAGATTGCTGACTATTGAAACTGAAAATATTCCTGAAATATTAAGGAACAAAGTATGACCCATTTCACTACTACCACATAGCAACAAGACCACATAAAGCAGATGACACAGGCAAAGCTGTCTCCTTATATTTAATAAAGAAAAAGTGACAAACCTAAGCAAGTCAGCCTTGAACCGTATGATCCCTGGGCCTCAATTCATGAACTGACTTCTACACCTTCAGTTTGATGAAAGGAGATCCACCAAAAACTACTGCTCTGTACCTGAAACATCCTCAATTAAACAGACTTCCTAAAAGACTGATTTTAACTCAATTAAACTTATTTTAACTTATTTTAAGGGGTCAATTTAGAAAGTATGAAATAATGCTGGTGCCTAGTAGCACATTATTTCCAAAGGCTTGGGGTTTTTTCTTCAAAATTATAGCATTCTATCCTAGCTAAGACATTACAATAGCAATAAGTAATTTTATTTTTTTTTTATTAAAAGCAAACCTGAAATACCAGTGCTAACAGAATTTTGCGAGTATGTAATCAGGTTAAAACTAGAAAATGAAAAGAAACATTTTCTCTAATTTGAATTACTTATTGAAACACTATAAACTTCAATTAGCTAATGATACACGCTAGGCTAATTATCTTTCCTTACTGTACATCTTTTAGGTATCACTTTTAACAGGATATTTTGCTACATGAATTATATAAACTCTACTGAGGCATCCCTGTGTTTCACCAACACCAACAGATCAAATCCCACAACATGCCATGAGTTCAGACACTAGCATGTCTCCTTCCACAGGCACAGAACTAAACTAAGAAAAGATAACAATTTTGAGGAGAATTATTTCCATCCCAAAGAGTAATGATTGCTGCTGTTAGTCACAACAAATGGATGAATAGCAGATTATGTAGGAATATGCGCTTACAACTTATAAATCCAGAAACAACCACTGCAAGCTGGACAGTGAAAAATGAAGGCACACTGATGTTGAAACATAAAAAGTACAATTTTAGCACAAAATAGTTGAATTAACTATTTTCTTTTAATAAAACAAGCAGAAAACTATAAAATCTACTATATGTTTGATCTTTTAAATCAATAAAAAACTGCTACATAACCAAAACAGTAACTTGCAAGGGTGATAGATTTTCATCTTTTGCATTGGCCAGCTACTAGAATGCTTAATAATACATTCCTTTATGTATAATAGATGAGACTTTTGACACATGACTGAATTACAGATTCCTGGGTTCTGCAACAGGTAACACCACAGACACTATTTTACTCTCCAGCCCAATGCTTGTTACTCCTTTTCCTCCAGTTCCTCCCAAGTCTCTTTCCTTCTGTCCCCAGCTTGTGTGTCAGTCTTCCCATAAAGAGCTGTCTTAGAGCTAGCCAGCAGTTTCTGGCAAAGAAAAAATATCTTGATTTCAAGTAAGGCCTTCCCCATTATCTGCAAGTATTCCTGTCTGTGCTCTTCCTATCCTACTGTAGTGAATATTATACATACACACCCACCCCCTCCCACACTTATGTATCTGCACATATACTCACACACACACGTACATAATAGTTCAAATGGTGTCATTAACAGGCTCAGATGTAAAAAACACTGAGTTTCAGAGCTTGTGCAGAAAACACATGGTATAAATCCACCTCAAGTAAATCTTCTGCAAAGTAAGCTAATTCCTACTTTAGGATTTAAGCCTTTCTTTCTGGATTGCAAATTTTAACACCCTCACACAAAATATCTAACTTTAGTCCCAACATTGAAGATTGAAAAAATCTTTTGAGTTTGAAGCCGTTTCTGGCTCATTCCTATAGTCTCTCCCATTACATTTAACTTGGGCTATGTCTTCACATTTGTGGTACCTAGGGATGAGGAGTAAAGGCAGTAAGAGGCAAGACAAGTCTTCCTGTTCCACTGCCTAACTCAGCTTGATGCCATCCCAGAATACAAGGGACAACAATAAAGACAAGTGAGGTAGCAAGGATCCCAAGCTGAGCAAAATCAGGGCTCAGTCATGCACCAGCAAGCCACAGTTTAGAAGAAAGAGTGTTCTGTAATGCAAAAGAACAACTGAGTGAAAATGGTACATCACTACAGATGAGCTTGGGACAACAGTTCTGCTGAAGTTCTGCCTGTGAACAGCAAAAGGAATTTTCACAAGAGCTTTCAACCCGGTAAAATTTGAAGGGTTTTCACACACATGCCAAAAAGCTGGCCCTGACCAAGTGTTACTTAGGCTCCTGGTATGTGCCAAGAGACAATTTATTCAAACTACATGAGGACTATATCTTCTCAAAAGAAATTACTATAAGAAAATTTTACCTTAATCAAGACATTATTTTCACAAATGTTTGGACTAGTTTCACTAGAGTGGTGCAAAATAATCATATGCCAAAAATGGAAAATTTCAACTATGCATGGTAAGCTGGGGAACAGTAGGAGCAATTGGGAAAAAAGTCCTGTATTGGGAAGTATTTGGCAATCTTATTTATATACAACCATCTTAAATATAGGCCTCTATCCTAATAGAAAACTGGCTGTGATATTTCCATTTTTCTGAATTTTTTGAACTTAATATTAATCAAAAAAAAACCAAATTAAAAAACTAGAAAGTTCACAAAATCTAACAACACTCCTACAGATAATTACACTACAAATATTATTATTGCAATATTTTATTAATATAATAATTATTATTATATTATTACAGATAATTATACTACAGATAATTTTTGTTATACAAAACACAAGGACTACAGGAAAAAAAAACACAAACCACTCACATATAATTTGAAAAACTGAATGTAAAAGAGGCTAGCAGATAGGTAATTACCTGAACAACAAAATCCCCAAATAGTAGTGATAACAGAGTATGTACAAATATACCTTGTCCTTGAGGAACTCCATAAAATTCAGCAGCTATCCTTGCTGCTTCCTTACGGTTTCCTTTCACAATGTAGAAATGACTAAGTATAGCCAGGCTGATCTTCACAAAAAGTTTAAAACAAAAAAGTGAAAGTATAGTAAAGTAGACATTGGATAACTGCTGTGCAAAAGGGCGACTTTCTTCTATGACAGTCATTGCTGCAGCAAAATCTCTGTCAGTGTTTGGGTCAGGCTCTCAAATGTGTTGATAAGATCATATGGCTCCAGCCATGCACTCTTGGGAACAACTGGTCCCGAGGAAAGAAAATATCAGCTGGTCATGATGCCTGCTGCTCAAAATATGACGATTATTTATACTGTACATAGTACTGAGTTCACTACCGCTCTTGCTAGCCCGGTGATACTCATGTGGGACAGCAGTTTCCAAGATCCTGGATTGTACTTGTTCCACTTCAAAGGTCTGTTGCATTCCAAATTCTGCATTTCTAACTCATTTATTTACATGTTTAAAATACATTTGCAAAAGTATTATTGTAAACCCCTGAAATTCATATACTAAACCACGTAACACAGATAATCTGTTTTTGCTAAAATATGTTCTCCTGCTGCTTTAGTACAATTGCTCTTTTCTGATATTTCATTTTATGTCAGACTAATATTCTTTCCTTAAAAAACCTAGAATCATATCAGTAAATAATTGAAGAACACATTAATATAAACAGAGATTTAAGGTATATCAGCATTGACAGTCTCTTATTATTTTACCCAGGCTGAATGAAAGTATTTAATATGCAAAGACTTTAGCACTATACAAAAAACAGTATTCAGAGCAGGTGATATGAATCAAACATCTAGACGTTTTTATGCATAAAACCTGGAGCAGCCAAAATTAAACTAATTAAAATACAATGGTAGATATACAACATGGAAAATTTCTAATAGTTATTATACGTATTTCATTGTGCCACATCATATTATTTTAAACCTATAACATGACAGGGTTTATTTGTTGGCCAGCTTTAGAGAGGGGACTCTAAATTCCTCTGATTTTTTAAGAATTAACTTGCTTATATACCATAAAACTATTACTCACAGTCATCAGCAGTCACTTACAAGTTGTTCCATTAGTGTGAGTAATTGCTCAGTAAATTGTTGAGTTGCAACATGATACAAACTGAGGAGCTGCATGACAGAACCAGATTTCTAAGTGAACTACAATCCTAAAGTAAAGAATCATGGCAGCACAAGAAAGGGTCCTGCTCTAAACTTTTATACTTCCTTTTAAATTAAAAAGAGTGTCTTGAATTATAATTTAAAATACTCTACCCAAAGTAATCCCAAACTTTTTTACCCAGGATTCTCTCGTTTGGTGATTAAAAAAAAACGTTTTAGAATGTTGGCAGCTGCCCATCAGGATAAAAGAGCATGATCTAAATGTCACTGCATTCATAGATCACCCTGACTTCAATGAACAGAATAGCAGATATTAAACATTATAATATAAAACCATATTTCTGAAAGGAAAGGGGAAACAGTAAGGCACCTCATCATCTGACTCTCAGACTAATTTACAGAGTAAGAAGCTATAATGTTTTCTGGAAGCTAAAATCAAACAAACCTACAAAAATGAAGACAAGATGATAAAATAGAAATATTCTTGGAAATAAATTTCAAGATTTTTAACAGACGGGAAGTGAATTGTGCTTGTCTTGAAATAAACAGGCATTACATATTTTTCTTTGAAAATATTTAATCCACTTAAAAGTCAACCACAACTAGAAAAGGCCATTAAAAAGGAGTTTACACTGTAAACTATACTAGCGGGTAAAAAAAAAATGCAATTTTTTACTAATTTTCATTTATAGACATTTTCTCATCCAGCCAGAATAGGAACTGCTTTCCTCATACCATTATTAGAAGCAGGAATGAGTACTTAAAATGCCAAATGAAAATCCCTTTTTATATTTGGCACATTGTTATCCAACACTGAATTGAGGTGTCATGTTTTCCACAAGTATAAAAGGCATTATGCTCTGAGCTACCACTGCCAATTTCTGTTTCAATCATTAATAGAAATGGTATTTTCCTTAGTAACACACCCAATATTGGAATTTCTTACTTCTTCCATATTTGTACTAGCATTATTAAGTTTAACTTGATCAGTCCACAAAATTCCCAACCATCTTATGGACCTCTTTTATAAATTTACCATGTAGAACAAGGATAAACCATAATTATGTTACGGAAAGCTTTTTCTTCCATGTGGCGTTTTACCTGATCCTTTTTCCTCTTTTTTTCATATTGTGCCATCTAATGCCTGCTTTCTCATCTGGACTTCTCCCACATTTTGTTAATGAAAAAAATAATCTTTCTTTGTAGAGGCAAAATTCCAAATAGCAATTACCATAAATAACAGCAGGAGTTAGCAGTGCTCAGAATTCATCTTCCCATTACAATACTTTTTCCTGCTTCTTTTAACTGCAATAGATAAATCACAAAATAAATTCCTAAACTGCTAGATAGTTTTCTTCAAGTTGAATTTTTCTGTTAAGGTTCAAAAAAAGTAAATTTAAAACTACAATAATAAGGCTATGTATGCATTTAGTGTTTTGTAAGTGATGTTTCAAATAACCACACAGATTTGTAAAACTGCTTCTCGGAACACGAAAATTGAACAGGAAGGTTATTTCTGTATCAAAACTTGCCTTGTATCCTTTTAAAAATTTCCCTCATCAGTAATAAACCACATAAGGATGAAAAACTACATTAAATCATTAGTTTTGAGAATTCCAGTTCACGCATACTCATCAGAAGCTGGCAAAATTACTCTCATAATATTTCCTCTTTTTTTAGATCTCTATAACTCTTATGTGTCAGCTTAGCTGGAAACTCTCCCAACCGCACAGAACCAAGTCTATCCTAATCTAAAAGTTCTAAAGTGCCACAGAAATTACCATTACAGCTTGTTGGCAAAGCCATGCTATGAGGCACCCAGTCGTGAAAACTGAGCAACTGCTTGGAAGTTAACGCCCACACGGCATTTTGGGAGAGCCAACAAAGTGAATGCTGACATCTGAACAGAATAGCTGAGAGGAAGCCCATGCAGACTGGAAAACCAGAAACAGAAAGCTACAGCTGTTGCAGTGGAAACCAGAAAATAGAAGCATAGGTAAATAAATAAAGGATCTGACGGTCAATGCGATGCCATGAAGGAGCGGAAAAAAGCGGGATGTAAGCGTCCCTTGTATTCTATTGCACGGCAATGTGAAATAACTGGAGTCAGACCTTGCAGCACTGCAGAATAATGAGCGCTTCCAAATGGAAATGCACCATATGTAATAAATGTACAACATTATAAAGCTATCAAAACACTTAAAAAGAGCAGTGGATTAATCTGGATATTTGCATATCCCATGTAGTTTTGACTTTTGGGAATGAAATTTCTTGGCCTCATTTCCCCTAGTAAAATGGGGAGTATTCTGAAGATAACTTCATTGCTGTTAAAAAACCACTCAGATATCCTGGTGAAAATAATAACTAATTAGGTATTTAATAAGCTTTATTTTAATACAAAATTCAGATTAAAAACCTAAATAAAATGGAATCTTGACTGTTCATTCACTTTATGTCAACAGCAGAAGAGATAGGCTGTAAAATTATTTTAGCATTTAGGGTTTTATCATAGCCCACAAGAAAAGACAAGACAATGGCAACAAGCTACACTGCAGATTAACAATATTTAGATTTTTATTTTGTTTAAGAAGATAGTAATGTGGTGACAGACAAGGATAACCTTACCTTGACATACTAGCACACTCCCTCTCAGCAAATAAAACGAGAACAATGTAATTCCTCTGATAGGCTTCCCCACTTATAGAAATTAACTATTTTAATTCTAAAATCACTTAAGAAATTTTGAATGCTGGAATTTATGGTCTTAGAGTTCCCTTTTAATGTAGCTTGATCAGCTATCATTTCTCAAGAATATAATCTGTATAATCAAGATAGCAGTACTGCTGTTTATAATGACTATGAAGTGGTTCATTTCAGACTGCAGAGCTCAGATAAAGTAGCCTGGTCTTTAGTGTTTTGCTGTGTAGCAGGCAAGTGCAGAAAGAAAGTATTTAGTAGTGGCACCTGTTTGTCCTAGTTCAAACTGTCCAAAACCTAGTGTACAATTTACTCTCAACCTAATAAAGTAATTTTTAGAAAAAAACAAAACGAAACCAACAAACAAACAAAACTATGCTCTATCATCTATGATTAATTACATAACCACATTCATAAACTACTTTATTCTGGCAATTTTTCATCTATGCTTTAGAAGACCAGTATGTTTAATTTTCAGTAAGGCAAGATACACAAGAAAATTAACACAACTGATAGAAAGTTCACCATTCTAACACCAAAGACTATAAAACCCCTAGAAATATGATTTCTTTGTCGTGCATGCTGTGTTACTTTCGGAAAACATACTTCCTTCTATTTATATTTTTTAAAGTAATATATCTAAACTAAATGATAGAAGTTGTAAAAGAGTAATTACATTCACAGCACAAGTTTCATTACAGTTAGTCTTAAAAGTTTTCTTCTGTATTTGGAGAAGCATATAAATGTATGAAATTGAAAATGTTTATTTTAAAAATGAGATAAAGACGAAATACAGTACAAGGAGTTATTTGTATGGCACTTCACCTGCATCTCTTTCTCCACATATAACAGATGGCTAAATAAACACAAGAAGTTGATAGTGATCCTGGTTCTGAAACTTCTATCTAATAACAGGTGTAAGATTTTAAGATACCAGGCAGAAGAACAGGAACTCTTAGGTGCTTTGAAGCATTTATTATTTTATACATTATAGACAACCAACCAAGAGAAATTTGTAAAGCAATACCCTTGAAACAAAAAGTTTAAAATTAATCAGTAAGAAATCAAGTTTTAGAACCGAGTTTCTGATGTAAGCATATAATGCTTCATGAAGGACTCAAAAGAAGAGAAGCATGAGCTACTGAAAAGCAAATGTCTAAATCAGTATGAAAAATTACCTGCTTAGTGACCAGTTGACTTGTACTTCAATGAGTGGATGAAACGCTAATCCTCAAAATTTTACCAACTTATCTAAAGCTACTGAATGTTATGTCATTTCCTCCTTGATCTATGTTCAGCAATTTTCTCTACTATTTTATATTCAAAGTGTTTGAACTGAAGAAATCTTAACTCAGAGGAACTATTTTAAAATTTATTTCCTCATTATGCAAAATGTTACCTTAACATCAGACTGAAGACAAAAAAAGGCATACATACCATAAAGCAATCTTCAAAAAGTATTAAATGTTCTTTTCATTAATATCATTAAGGATAGTATGCATTTATGCTTAGGCACAGAAAATAAACCCAAACAAGTCATATTTACCTGAGAGCTACAAGAAATTCAGAAGCTGAAGTGACTGGAAAGCACCAAGTAGCTGCTGTGTCCTTTTCTAAACAGGAACTCAACACCATTAGTACAACCCAAACGCTACTCTTCATAAAATACGAAGAGAAAAACTGGCTGAAGTACAGACTTTGTGCTACTATTTTAGGGGAATGAAAACATAAAAAATGAGAGTACACAAACTTTTTCGTCCAGAAAAGGTGACACTTAGTTTAGATCTGAACTCCTTTTTACTGCACCCTGTTGCTATCCTTGAGAATACTACAGAATTACTTAAGCATTATGACAAAGCCATACTATCAGCACAAACACCTGAGAGTTGTGTTGCCAACTGCATGACACAAGACTGTAAACCAAACAAATGAAAGGCTCTGATCTCCTTTTTACAGCTTCTCTTCCTGAATGCCATGTCTATCCAGGATCTACACTAAGCATACAGCATGATGATACAACTCATAGCCAAAGTTATTTTTCATTCCGATTTCTGCAGTTCTTATAATTCCTGCTAATAGCCTGATAACCCAACCAAAGACTTTAACCAAAAGTCTCTTTCAAAATGCAATGCAATGACATCCTTAGTGGCACAACAGGGAAAAATGAGTGTCTTAAAACACTTCTCCTCTTAGTTGAGCTCTGGCTTTTGACACCCATTCTACCAATCAGTTACATATTTAGACACCATTTGTCTTCCCTAATAATCAAATACAACAGTTCCCTTGAAAGAGCTTTAATACACAAAAATTTATAAAAGTTTTGTTACATATATTTTTTTCTCTATATATTTTGGCATAGCACATTATTTCTATCAGTTCTTGAACTGCTCCAGAAAGCTCAAATTTATGCCTTTTGGTGGTACGATGGTACTTTTTTCCTCCAGTGTATTAAAATCCTTGGTCTAACACAGTTTAGGCTCTATACAAATCTAGTTATTTGAGTACATGAATGATGCAACCTTTAATTTCTAACATCATTAAAAGATTGCTTATTCTACTGCTATCTCTTAATGAGTTCAAAATGGTTTAACTGAGGCGGTTTGCCTTCCCTAGTAGTCGAAAATACTATTGCTATATTAGAAAATAATTCTAGTATACAGACTTGTATGTCTGGATTTCCAGAGAATAGAATTACTGGTCAGGGATTAAATATCAGTCAGTCTCTCTGCACATAACAGACATTCTCTATATAACATGTATTTAAAAGCATTAAAAGTAACTCATATATAAGTGATTATGAAATTCTAGTTCTCTAACTTTCCCCATTCTTGAAGAAATAGCATAGTAATGTTTAATCTGTATCCCTTTGTTATGCTCCTCGTAATGGGGATAGATGCCCCTTCAGCTACAAGCCTTATATCAACCAATTCTGCTGTCACATTATCACATGAACATGCTTGGTCTGCTTAACCAGTCCATCTAATCACTGACAGCAAAATTCTACCCAGAAGGGAATAGGTGTGACCAACAAGCTTACAAGTAAATTCAATCTGAGTTCTGCTCGAAACATAGTAAGTTTATTTACAGTATTTGTTGCAGTCCTCTCTGGATACCTAACATAACTCAACTATTAAGAGTATTACAGAAGATTCCAAAATCAGTCATGTGTGTACTAGGAGACATTACTAAACCCAGAAACGTGTCAGACAGCAGGCACACACAACCTGCTGACAGACAAACTCTAGCAAATCTTTCCCCCCAGAAATTAAAACAGTTACCACCTCCAGCTGCCCATTCCATTCCTCAGCTAAAGGTTCCTCTCTCTATAAAGTGCCTCTCTCTCTCCCTTCCTGGAAATCAACAGGAAGGAATGTGTATTGGTACACTCCTCAGTTCAAAATCTGGCAATTTATATTGTTAATAAATTAAAACTAACCTGTTGGACTTTACACTGAAGAAAATGCTCACACCCACCCCCCTACAACCCATTCTGAGACAGAGCAAACGAGCCTCTGGACAAATTCATAGCAAACTATGAGGGGAGAGTAAGTCAAAATGTATATACTTGCTGCCTCTTTGTGAGGATACTTAGGCATAATTTCTGATGACCTAATGTACTGATACAGGTGTATCAGTGCATCTTGGGAAGAATCTCCTCATTTTGCACCTCTTTCCCTTTGTATAGTTCCCTTCTTGGGAAAAAAAAAAACAAAGTGATTTCTTTCACTGCCAACCCTGTCTACAGAACACACATTCCCTCTTTGGCAACTAACTCAACCTCTTCCTTAGGATTGTGGTACCACAGGAGCTAGGCTTTTGGTATTTCAACTAGCTTGACCAACTAACTTTGCTATTTCTCTAGCAGGCAGTGCAACCACCTCATTAATCTAAATTCATGTAATTAAATCTGGTATTTTTGCAGTTTTTACAGTTAATCTTTTCCTTCATGAATAGCAAAAATGTCACAGGTTTTTATTAAATAGATGCCTCTAAATAAAACAATACTTGAGCTGTGAATCTTTTGTCATCAATTTGAATTCCTTACAAAATTGTTAATTTAATTCTACATTATAGGCTGTCTTTAAATTTTCCTTTAACAGCTTAACTTTTTTGTTCAAAAAATATTTTTTTTTTTCTAAAAACAGTGAAATTATCCATTTACTTTTATTCTGCTTTCTTTAAACTTTGTCAGGTTTTCTTCTTAACTAAATAAAAGTGGTTAAGTGGTTTAATTTTTTTTTTTCTTCTGTGTAAAGCATATTTTGGTGCCTAAGAATGTTGTTAATAAAAGGAAATGACATATTCAATAGTAGGAATGAGAGTTAAAAGTTTATTCTGCAATCTTATGTCATTATATGTTGACTCCCATGGCTGGTGTTCATAACAGAAAGGCTTTTTCCATCCACTAAAATTGGTATCAGCTAAATGATATCACCATGACAGAGCTAGAAAAGCATCTTTTTCTTCAAGCTGAGGCATGACAAGTCTCTGCTTGGTGCTTTTACAAGAGACATAAAAATACATTATGAGGAAGACTTGCAACTGGCTGAGTGAATGAGGTTAAAACCCGGGTGAGGTGGATCAGTGGCACTCCAGTTTCCTGCCCATAATGCAAAGCACAGTCAGGTGAGAAAGATTAAGTTAAATCAGTAATGTTTGAATGAAGTTACCTAACATGGTAGGCTAATTCCATATAGGCCATGGAATGGGCAAACATCACAGGATGTGTTAGGCTCCGAAATATACTGACTTTGGAGCCAAGAATATTTGGTTCTCTCTGTGATGCAGCTTTTATTTTGCCATATATTATGCCACTAAATGAGACAATGTTGTAAAATATCAATTTCATTCTGAAACCAGAAATTAAAAAATCCCTGAGGTTTTCTTGCTGAAGGACTCAAAATAATACTACAAAGGCAAGTGAAAACTTCTTTTTGCTTATCTTCTTATTCTGCATACTGTGTAGATCCAAAGCTAAAAAAATGGAGGTGAGAAGAACATTAGAATCAAATGCAGTCCAAAAAGCCTCTTCTCTTACTTACAGCCTTTCCACACCAGCTGTAAAAATGAGCCATCCAGAAGAGGTGTTAACTGAAAGGGGGCTGTTGCAAGAGACAGCTGATCATGCCATTTATTTTAATCCTCATCTTCCTACCCAGAACTGCCTAAGAGGCTGTGTGTTGCTACTGTCTCTTAAAGAATTAACATTTTAACAATTAATAAAGGACAAATTCAAGAAAGTATTTAGGCATTTATGACAAAAAAAAAAATAATCAAAAAGTACACACGTCCCTAGATCACAAAAAAGGTCCTCATCTATCTTGGTGCCAAAGATGCCACAGGCACCTAAAGTTTCACCTGTAAAATTAGTCAGAACTTAAGCCCCAAGAAGGATAAAGCTGCTGGGCTGAAACTAACATCTCCCTTTCTCTTGAAATTCACAACATACACCCCAAACTGTCTGCCACCCCAAACCTTCCATCTATGTGTGCCATGTTAGAATTAATATGACTTCAGTGGGAAAACAAAGAACTCATAGCAATCTCTGTTGATGGTCAGTGTCAACACTTGCTATTTTGTTTACAGAAGATGAAAGGAATCGCTCTGTAACTTGAATATCAGAGTAGAAACATGTCAACCAAAGAAAGCAAGCTACTCTCTCTCAAAAGACTACTAATCATCAGCTGCTGACAAGGATCAATCCTGTTGAAGTGCTGGCACTATAAAAAAGAACACATGTTTAATAGATCAAAGACTGCACAAAAACTCATTTTCAAAGTCAGGACTGGAGAAGGATGGCAAATTCTACATTTCAGACCTGCTGCCAATCCTATCTCTGCATTTTTTTAATGAGTTTGTAATGAAAAATATGACATTTCTTGAAGTAATAGCCAGCTTGAACACTGACATGCCTTATGCTCTGCAGGTCTTAAGGTCACTGCTTGGGCATAATAAATACCATTCCACTGCATTTTGGAAATGGTCCCCAAACTCTTCTGCTTCCCCACGATCCTATAAATTTGTTTCCATAATTATAGTATTTGCTCAATCCCCAGTAACACAACTTATTTAGCTGACACCAATTTTTGACAGTATTATGTCACCATTCTTCATGAAATATCGGATTTTATATCTTTCATAGAACAATGTAAAACTTACAAGCAAATGGGTGTTGTGAATAAGTATCTCCCCCCTTCTTCTTCCACAATTGCCTTGTTGCAAAATTTTTTCCTATTGTGATTTTGCAAGATTTTATTCATTAAAAATCTATAGGTTTCTTCTAAAACAGTAGTAGATCAGTCCTTGAATAAATTACACCATCTGTCTTCCCCTGTATACTGCGCTTTTAAGTGATATTTATTTAAGGTTTCTACTAAAATAAATCCAAACCTCCACAAGCAATAGCCATATTTATTAATTGCTTTAAAAACACATAAATTTCACTAAGCCTTTTGATTTTTGTCTTTTGCAGGTACCTAACTACTGCTTTGGAAATTTCACTACTTTATTCCTGCAAGTTCTGCCCAAGAGGCCTTTTTTTTTTATTAAACAGTAGTTTAGTATGAAAAACTCTAAATAGCAACTACATGAACTAAAAGCAAGATCAAAGGCAATCAAGCCATTTTCTTGTAGGCATGAGAAAAAAAATGGTGTTCACATTTAAAGTATCCTTTTGAAAGCAGCAGACATTTTGTAACTTCTGAAATTATTAGGTTTCCCAGCTTACAGTAAAAGCTTCCTTAATAATTCTAAGTCAAATATTCTGGGGAAAAGTACACACTTTTCAGTAAGAATAATCCAAGGTTTCTGTTACAACAGGTTCCAGACCACAAATCATCACAATAATTAATATTTTGAATAGCATAAAATAATAACAAGCCAACAAAAGCCTTTACACAAGAAATTCTCTGTGCTGCTGAACTCCTCATGAAATATCAGAAAGGTCAAGAATTACAAAACGCAAACCAGAAAAGAGCCTACCCTTTTTGGGTCTGTGACTGATTTCAATGTGGCAAATGCACAGACACACAGAAACCACCTGCAGAGCAGAATACAGGGTCCCCAAAGGAATGTCTCCACAGGCACCTTCATATCCTACAGGCTAAACAGACATGTGCTTCAGTTACTCAGTCTGGGGGGAAATAAAAAGCCTCACTATGATATTTTCCCTATTCCATTCCCTACCTTTATCTGCAAAGATCTTTCTTCCCTGACTCATAGACCTGGCTCTTGTCTACAGGTAGGAAAAGAAAGATCACCGTCATTACAGAACAGAGGTATTTCAGAACGGCCTGACAGTCCCTATCCCTTCAGTCACCACGAGGCCTTCCACCCTTTTAAACTCCTGCATCTCAGCTCCTGCTCCTACTCCCAGTATTTGCAGCACTGGAACCTCTGGGATGGGAAGAGGAAATTAAATATTACTGAATCACTGCTGACATCTGTTGGCAGCCCCAAGAAATCCCCGTTAATCGAGCCTGGTATCGTTAATAGAGACCAATACAGCGGTTGGGAACACCAAACAAAATCGACCCCAAAGCATTGTAAAAGCTCTCATTCCCCTCCGGTTCTCACATTAATACTGTTGCAGGTCCGTGAAGAAGGCATGGACCTCAAACAGGACCTCGGGAGGAGTTAGGAATCGCCTCACTACATAAACGGAGCTTTGCTGGTTGAAATTTCCACCAAATCGGTGGGGTCAGGTGAAAGGCTGCCTCAGCCTGCCAACAGCGTGAGATCACCCCGCCATCCGGCAAAGAAAAAGGATTCCAGGAACAAGCCCAGCTACTGAAGGAGATTTCTAGGCAAGAAGATTGACATACTGAGCACGTGTGTAGCAAAGTGGAAACGAACAGGAACATCCTGTAGGAAACAAGGGAGGGAATGGCAAATCACAGTACCAGCGAAAGCAACCTTCGCTAAAACTTATTTACGCTTTACTATACGAATGAAAAACTCCGGCGGAGCGACAAACCCCAGCTCCCCGGTGAGGGAGAGTGCCCTGGGAGCCCAGGCTGCGGCAGGCACGGAACACACAGCGCAGTGCCAGCCCCAGCACGGCCGCCATGTCGCGCCCGGGCCCGGCGCCAGCCCCGCCCATCTCCTGGCGGAAGCGGGGGCAGGATCGGGTGTGGGCGTGGCCTGATCTGGGGCGTGGCCTAGCCGGGGGCGGGAGGGCNCCAATGGGGGAGCCCCACGACGGCGCGGCCGGGCGGGAGCCGGGGCGGCGCTCGGGGGGCGGGCCCGCCGCTCGCACCAGGAGCCTCCCTTAGAGCGGGGCGGCCGCTCACGGCGGAGCCGAGCCAGCTGCTGCCCGCAGATGCGGAGAGGCAGGGACCTGCAGGAACGTGGAGTATGTCCTGTGAACATTTATCTGGTCGAAGTACCTCTTAATTAGTTGGGTTTCTCCGTGGATAACCTAGCATTCTTTCTGTCCTATATCAACAGTGATCGGATGGCTCCTTCTCTGCGAAATGCACCAGGTGTAGGGCGCAATACTACATCGAAACGTGCTGCCTACAAGTAAAATGTACTGATGCAAAGTCGTGCTGGGTGACCTTTTCCCCCAGTTTTGGTGTTGTTTCGTGGTGAGGTTTCTTTCTCTGAACGGAACCTATGTCACAGAAAACTTCCATGAAGTATGTGTGATGTGGAGGGCAGCAGTTTCACAAGCATTTGAGCAGCTGTTACAGCCACCAGCGAGTGGAGGTCTTTGCTCCCGTTTTTGCCACGTGCTTCTTTACCAGAGCTCCACATGGGAATCTGGCTCATAGGACACTTTATTGAGCTGCTTTAACTCAGCTCATGTTTTTTTGTCTTGTTGGTTTTGGCCTAGATTAGGGAGCTAAAGCAGCCCACTTTTGGAAGTGTTCAGTGCCAGGTTGGATGGAGCTCTGCTCAATTTGGTCTAGTGAAAGGTCAGGGAATTTGGAAATTGATGATCTTTAAGGTCAAGGTCCCTTCCAACCCAGGCCATTCTGTGATTTGGTGATGATTCTGTGGAACTTTGGAACCACCCCAAGGTATCTGGCACCAGTGGATGCCAAATAGCAGGACTTGAAAGGAGAGATGAATGCAAATAAAGGGTCTGCCATCACCTTTCAGACTGGTTTAATACCACAGGATAAAAAAACCAAAACACTTGTGTTCATGCTACACTGAGGATTGCAACAGCATAAAATTAGCATAAAAGCATGTCTTTGAGTGTTATGGTGAGCTCAGCATATATGAGGCAGCATACTAATGTCTAATTTGGGTGAAATGTGTATTGCCAGTCCCTTCTGTGATGCACAGATCTGGTGTTACTGGGAGATGTTGAACCTGAGCTGCTTCTCTTGAATGCCTGACAAGTTTTGGAGATTCCAAGCTTAAAGCCTGCTACTCCACCTGACTGGCAGTGGTTAAGAGGTGAAGTCAAGTGCTTGATAAGGTTTATTACTTAAAAAGATACTGCTTTTTGCAAAAGGATGGAAATTCATACCAAGGCTTATATCGTGAAGATTTGGTGGTGTTTTTCTCAACTACTATCTCCAAAACTGTTTTCTTCACTTGTAAACTTTTTTTTATTTGTGATTACTAAACTTGGTTTTAATGAAATGATGTTTTAATTGACTTATTTCCGAACTGGAATAAATATAATTACAAAGTTCATAATTCATAAACAAATTGTTCCATGAGGAGTTAAGGTTCATAGTTGATTGTCATGATTGTAATCGTCTTTGTAGATGATAAGTTTGGTAAATTGATAAGCTTTATGAATACATATGGAAATATCTGCTATGTGTCATTTTCCATTTGCTCCTTCTATTGTGATTTAGTGTGGGAACATCAAGTACTGTTCCAAATGTAGATTTATAATAAAGCCTTCCAAAATGATGTAATTTTCCAGAATGTAGAGGGGAAATAACTATTTTTTTCATGCTGTTACTTAAATACATTACAGGAATAAATCTTGAAATTTGTGTGAACTGTGCACATAAACTGTTTAATTAGAATGGTCAGAGAGTGAGAGGTTTTGTTTTTTCAAGGACAGTTGATTTCTCAACTGTCTCAATATTGACAATGGTTGCCAGCAGACTGCTATGCTGATGGTATCCCAAAAAGTTTTACATATTTGAGGATGCTAAGACATATTTTACTAAAATTAAATATAGTCCAGCTTAGATACAGATTTTTTTTTAACAGGAGAAAGTCAATAGGTTACTTGTATGTCTTAGACACTGTGAGGGCAGGGCCTGACATTTAAAACTGGGACACCATAATTTCTGGAAGGTAGGTGTTAGTTTGTAATGTTGATTACATTTTACCCAGAACTATTTAAAACAAAATACAGAAAATGGATGAGGGAACTATCTAATAAGAACCATAACTTACGTACTGTTTAAGAGACAAATAATGAGAAAGGATAATCTTGTGTTGTGTTTTGCTTTCTCTTAGAAAAAATGTAGAAGATTTCACTGGACCTAGAGAAAGAAGTGATCTGGGATTCGTCACATTTGACATTACTGCAGATATCCTTAATGGAAAAAATGGTTTGCAAACTTTTTGGGATAAGAACATTGATGTCTGTTTTTGTTACCTTATAATCTTCGATATTCAGGACTTTAGGGAAAACTAGCAATTTGTCTTAAAATAAAAATTTAAAGCAGCTAAAAATAATATTTTGCATAGGTATGGCTGTGAAATAGAACTTAAAACAACTGTTTGTTCTCTAGTTGATGACAAGCTGTTTAATGCCTGTTCTTAAAATCAGGCTCTATTGTGAAGTGCACTGGATCTAATAATGGGGAGTGCAATTTAACATCTAGACATTATTACTGTAAAGTGGAGTTTGTATTGGTGATTTGAAGAGTGAATTAATGGTAGGGTTTACATAGCATGTTGTTTTGAACGTCATACCTAATGTAGGAACTGCTCCTTTGAAACTCTTTTTGTTGTGAGGCATTCTAAGTTCTGACTATAATGGTTGCATAGAAGTACCTGTCTTCTTCTAAAAATAAAAAAGGCATTGTAATCCTTCACTTGCTTAGATGTTAAACACTCTAATCTTTAGTATTTCTTAGTATGAAATTAATTGGGAAGTGTATGGTTTACTAAAAAATTTATCACATTGTTTTTTGTCCTCTTAATTGCTGTTGCAGTTTTGCAGGTTTTCTTTTGTATTTCTTTGCTTCCCTGCTAGTCTGGATTAAGCCTCTTTGAAAGAGTTTTTCTGCAGAAGTCAGTACCAAATAATAGGTTGCATCTTCAGGTGATTACACTAAACTGTGTTTTGCAACTGGTCTGAGAATCCTGGGGTCTTTCCCTGTCTGCTGGTTTTTGTTATTGTTAGGCAAGACACTGATTACCTCTGTGTTTTGGTTTTGCTCTTTTGAAGAACACTGATGTGTGAGCAGACCACACATAATACAACTCTTGATACAATACTGGATAAACAGGCTAATCAGATTTTTGCAGGTCTGTCAGGACAGGAATAAGAGGGGGTTTTTTTATCAACTGGAGGCAGGAGAAGTAAGCTCCTAAGTCTGAGTTTTACCTCTGAAATACTAATACATATTAAAATCAGAGACTGAAATTCTAAAGTAGGTGCATAGACTTGTACACATTGTGTATGGAGAGAAGCAGGGCCAGGCAGGACAGAACCTCTAAAAGAAATGTTCTTATGCAAGGATTGCTCTGCAACATGTGGCCATAAAGATTCCATGTTTGAATAACTTCTACTGGTAATGGCCTTTTTTTATTTTTTTTTTTAAAGTTTCTGACTAAATTTCTCATACCTGGCATAAATGAAGCTTGCAATATTTAGAGATGTAAAATGCAACTGTCCTGGTATGGGTTTTTATTCAAAATTTATAAAGAGATACAGGTACATGGACTGTCTTAACTACCAGAAAGAAGTTGTTAGTCCTGGGAGAAGTTAAATAAAATGGAAGTTAGTAAAAGGAACTAGTCAAGGGAAGGGGAGCAGGAAAGGAAGGAAATAGTTTTCACAAACTCCTTTAAGCTTATTTAAATAATTGCTACCTTTTGTAAGTGATAAGAAATCCTATCAAGGAAAACTTCAGAACCTTGTTTGATATTTTGAGCCAGATGACAGAAAATGTTCAAGTAAAATATTTCTACCTAGTCTTGCAGTGACAGCAGTTAAATATTTAATTCTTTCCTTTCTTGCCCTTTGAATTAGTAGCTTAAGAACATGTTTGTTTTGGATGAGTGAAAGAAAAAAAAGATTTTGAGCTAGGTTAGGGAATCTATTTATTCTTTGAGATAATGGCAAACAGAATACAAAAGAGGACGAGGAAATAAAAGATTACAGCTAATCTCTATGGTGAATTAAAAAGTCTTTTTCTTAGCAGTCACATGTTATTTTTAAATAAAAAGACAACTACTTAGAATCCCAGCATCATTATACTGTCTCAAATGGCAGTCAGCAGTTTACTGTTGATCAAAAATCTGAGCAGAATTTTGTTTGAGTCTAATGAGCTTTCCTTGTTGTCAGTAGGGAATCAAATTTACTAATTCTTGGGGTCCCTTCCAATATGAAATGCTTCCCATATTCTAATTTCTGTAACATAGGCATTAAAGGCTCTTTGAATTCCCTGCACTTCACCAGTTTTGTTTTTATATATTGTTTAATGTTACTGTATTTGGATACAAGGGTTCTCTGATAGTATAAAAAATTGCTTTGAGTATATTTTTGGAAGAATTCTGTCATGACTTTTATGGTTAAGGTTGTCTAGCAGAGGATTCTGGTTACTAGCTTAGTGTCAAATATAGAACTCTTAAATTATTTGAGGAGAAGTAGCTGCTAGATTTCATAAATAGTAAAAAGAAATATCCGGCTAATCACTTTTAAAATATGTGTTCAAACTGCTGGCAGTGCTCTGATTTATGAGTAAGATGAGGTATGTTGAAAGGTAAGAGCTCACTGTAATGTTTGTAGACTACTTAGATCTAGTAAAAATAAAACAAGGTTATGTAAGTGCAATATGGTATTTTTCTTAACTTGCATACATCTGCAGAGTATATTCGATTGGAATGTCAAACAATTGTTTCTATATTTGTCTGCGGAATATTCAACAAAAAACAATGTAAGTATTAAAAAGATGTTTGAAGCAATTACCCATTTTAGTACTGCAGCTATTTTTAACCATTCTGTAGTTCTGCTGAGAAGAGTTAAAGCTACCAGCATTTCCTGCTAGTCTGGGCTGTTTTTACTGGCCTTCATGATTATTTTCTTGACAGTTTAACTGTAGGGCTGGGAAGTTCACCTCCATGAAACCTAACTTGATATATGCCCAGTAGAACTGGAGAAAAATAACACATGCCTTGTGTTGCAGGTATACTTACAATAGTATACTGTGAATGAGTTTTTTTCACCTTTTCTGTCCATTTTACTTTTTTTCTAAATTTCTGCAGTTGGCTGCTGTTAGAAACAAGAGAGTGGCTTCTGGGCTGGCCTAATGTGGTGTGTCTTTTTTTCAGAAATCATGGAAGTGGTTGCCCCTACCAGTTACTGTAGCCCCATAATTCATTCATAAGTCATACTTCTCAAAATAATTTTCCTTGCTCCTTTAAATTGGTTGCTATTGAGCCTTCCCTTTGAATAGCTGAACACCCTTTTTAATGATCTGGTATAAGCTATGTGGGAACAGCCTTTGAAAAAAAAAATCACTTTAATGGAACACCATGCAGCCACGGTACCACTGAATTCTAGTTAAAGCTGCTGTGCTCACATTGCAAGGATATGGTGAAAGCTTGGGGGTTTTCTTAACTTGCTGTACAAAACCGTCTTTTTTTTTTTTTTAAGTGCCTTAGTTATATTAAACAAGATGGTAGATATTTTGTTTGTACTAGAATCGTTCTTAGGGTTTCTGTGATTTTATTGTATTGTTCCATATTTTAGATCTTTTTCCACGTAAATCACCACTTCTCACAAATACTGAGAAGTGTTTTTCTAAATTGTTCTATAAAGTACTAAACAAAACTGTTTAGCATCTACTTAAAAGAACGGTATAAAGTTTCTGTAATGTAAGAACTTGAGATCTCACTTTTTCAACTGTCCGTAAATTTTTTTGGGATTATACTTGCAATTCAAGTAGATATTTCCATTTAAGTTGGAAAGATGTTAAATACATAAGCAGTTATAATAACTCAGTTTTTAAGTCCTTCCTTTGAAACAAGGTCTAAATACTGCTTTAAATGTGACTTACCTTTGCAATTCAGAAGGAAACCTCATTATGCTTTGTAATTGTTCTAAAGCATATGACTTTTTTAAAATGTCTTTCTTGTGTTTTAAGATGTTCCTCCTTGTTTCTGTTTATTCTGAGCCACACTTCACTATGTAGTAGTATTCCATTACCCTGCTGTGAAGCATTATTTTGTTAAATTAGTTATGGATTGCAAGCAGGTACTTCAGGGTTTTTAGATGAATAGTGTAATGAAGGTCCAGTATCTGACTGTGACTTGGTAAGGTACCTTGCTGACTTAATTGCAATTGTGATTTTAGGCCCTAAATCAGGTAGTCCTTTGGGACAAGATCATGTTGAGAGGAGACAACCCAAGGCTGTCCTTAAAAGACATGAAGTCAAAGTACTTTTTCTTTGATGATGGAAATGGTCTCAAGTAAGTAAATATTTGTTTTATCACTGTAATTCACAATATCTTGATTTACTTACATATTTTGCATTTAATACATGTGTTTATTGGTGTGGGAAGGTAACTACATTCTATCTGATACTCTGTCGTCTCTGTTGCATCTTTGATTGTTAGAAGATGGCCTTGGGATACAAGATATCCCGTGTATTCCGTAGACTAGAAGATGCACTGCTGTTATGAGCAACAAGCTTCTGGGTTTCTGCCTTCAGTCTGTGTAGAACTGGTTCTGTCATGCAATCAACTCCAAAGGAGTCAAGTAAAAAAATAAAATAGGCAGTAACTGCTTAAAATTAAAAAGCTTATTGTTCTGGACCAGTTAAACAATCTGTATCCTAATGTATTTAATACTTGAAACTGTTAATTAAATTGGTTAACTTGAGTATTTGTGCTGATAGTCTTTGTTGCTTTTGCAGGGGAAACAGGAATATCACCTTGACTCTCTCCTGGAATGTTGTACCAAATGCTGGCATTCTACCTCTTGTTACAGGATCAGGACATGTGTCTGTACCTTTCCCAGATACCTATGAAACAACAAAAAGTTATTAAATTATAAGTACTGAATCATAAGCAAAATATTTTTTATACTTGTATATTGTGGATACATTTTATTGCAGTTTCTTCTTGCATCCCATGCAACTTTTCATTGAAAGCAACTTAATTTCCTCAGGCTAGCAGCATAGGAAAAGGAAATGAAAATTCAGGATTTTGTTGGTTTTTTCCTAAATAAAAATTGAAGCTGAAGCTTAAGGGAAAGGTAAATTGCGGAATAATGGTTTCAAGTGGGGGAAACTGGGGATTTTATTTTTTTTTCCTGGCCATCTAAGTATAGATCTCCTTTTCTTTTAAATAAATATTTTTAAACCAGAAGGTAGTCTTCCTGTGTTTGGGCTTTTTAAGTACTGTGATAGTAATTTATTTTGTGTAGAACTCAAATATACCTTCTGGAGTTGGTTTCTGAAGGAAACAGCTGTTCCATTTTAGGGCATTTTTTTAAATCCATGTGCAGTATGTTATAGTAGGCTAACCTTGGTCCTTTCTAGGACTGCCACCAGCTACTTGGAAAACTAATAGTTCATTATCTGTCAGTCAGCCTCAGATCTTGAGTGCCACTGATGTAGCCCACATCCAGTTCTGTATTACAAATCATTTAATTTCTGCTTGCAATGCAGCAGACTGGAAGAATAAAAAGAAGTCTATTCAGTATGAGTCTTAAGACTTTAAACATTAGATAGAAGGCTAAATCAGTAAGAAAAGTAAAAGCTTTAGGTAAAAAAAGGCTTTCTGAAATGGAATCTCTAGATTTTTATTGGGATCTGTTTATCAGGAAGAATGAACATGCTTGTTCCAGAAAGGGCTGAGACAATATTAGAGGGGACCTTCCATAGCAAGGAATAGGATAGATGTTCCCTAAACAATCTGGGTAAATCTTTCCAAAGCAGAGGATTTCCCTATGGTAAGATAGAATAATTGAGGCAGATTTACCAGCTTGAGTGTCAATGAGTCTACCTGCAAGTCTTGCTGAATGTCATGAACCAGGAAAGGTAGCAAGCCGCATGTAGCAGCTTCTGTCAGCGCCTCTGCGGAAAAGGTGGGCTCTCTGTGGCTGCAGATCCCCCTGAGTGTGCTCCTTCCCTCAGCTGCAGCTGTGAATGCTGTCAGGGTTGGGAGGATGGAAGGAGCACAGGGTATCAGGATCACCTCGTGGCAATAGCAATGGTTTGTAGGGATTGACTGGTGCATTTAGGTCATTGGATGTCCAGGAGAAGGAGCACGTGTCATTATCGCCGTCCTGGCATAGTCCATAACTTACATGTGTATTTTCAAACAAAGCATGACAAGGGAATTTATTACCAGACAGGGAATATTCTGGATGTATTGGGGAATTGGAAAAAGAGGAAACTAAAACATGGGTTTTAATACTATAAATCAGAAAAAAGTAATAGGAAAAATGATGAGAACTGCAGTGTGAAAAACCTTAAAAAAGAAGAGATGCAAAAGACTGGAGCAGAGTAGCCAAAGCAAAGACCCTTTGTTTTGAGTTCACTTAAGAGCTGATTGATTTTGAGGGAACTAACTTGCTTTTAACAAGGGTTCTTTAATATTTGTGAATTATCCCTAAGTGACTATTTAATACATTCTTCATGTTGGTGTATTAATCAAAAAGGTCTTGAAAAAAATTCCCAGAACTTGCTTTATCTTTACAAACAAAATTTTGTTTAAGTGTGAAGACTAAAAAGTTTTTTTAACAATGTTTTAGGAGAATTTGTCATTTGTATCCAGCATATTTGCATGAATTTCAGTTCTCTGAACTTGTGCTGTTTCCCACAGAGTAGTATAATCAGCACATTGAAACACATACTATTTTTGCTGTGCTTTTATATCAAATGTATATATGGCTCTAAAAACTGTTACAGAGAACTTAAAACTGTCATAGAGAAGGAAAACAAAATATTTTTAGAGATAATTGGGCAAAGTAGTGGATTTGTTTTCGTAATTGCTGAGTAAGTGGTTGTTTTTTTCATAAATTATATTCTTGAATTGTTTACTGAAGCATTTCTTGTGGCTTGGCATTCAGCCAGTTCCCCACATTCCTTTGGCAGTACTCTTCCAATGAATATAATGTCTGCCTATTAAAGAGATGCTGTAACTACAAAGACTACAAAGAGGATCCGCTGTCAAAGAGCATCAGGGAGAAAGCTACTTCTTTCCTACAAAATGGTATATTCCTCCCAGCAGACAGTAGCAGAATTTCAAGACACTGAAACTGTAGCTTTCAAGTGTGATGTTTGATGCTTTACTAGCCTTTCCCTTTGAAGAGAAATTATGTTTGAGGTAAGCATTTTAGCGGGATGAAGAAGAAGCCATCATGGAGTTCAAGTTCTTGGAGAGAAGAACTTGTTTTTATCCTGAGGAAAAGACCAGCATAGATGAGCACTTGATGCTGTAATAGCTTGGTTTTTGCTCCTGAGCCACCAAGTGAGACAAGGTGTTGGTTCAGGGTTTAAGGAGGCAAATTCCTCAACTGATCTCTATAAAAAGTAAAAAGCCTTCCAAAAAGTCAAATGGCTACTGTATTTTGTTCTGACAATTCTCAAACCGTTCATAAAAAGGATGTGCTTTTGTGGAAACTAATGGCATTTACTTCCTCTTGTCTCACATATCTCGTAAAGTACTAGTGTTGCTGGCAGCTGATTGTTCTCTCAGCTGTGTTGCTGACTAAATATTTCTTGTTTAAGGAGTAATATGTACAAAAAAGGTATTCTCTGGCAAGTGATTTACTTCAGGGGAAGAGACTGAACTGAAAATGCTTAAGATACATTTCAGATAGTAATTTTAAAGAGAGGTGCTGTAGACAGTTCTTGTGTAAGGACTGAAAAATGGAAATTTTTTAAGTAGCCTGTGTTTCCATTTGCCATCAAAAACATGCAGCACTACATTGGCAGCTCCATGCAGGAAGGGCAAAATAGCCTTGAAAAATCTGTGTTTAGAACTCTGCTCCCCTGAGCATGCAGTCTTATTTGTGGGTGGCTCTACAGTTACTGAAAATAGAAAGTCATTTAGAAAATAAATTACTTCTATTACTTGTTAATTCTTTAAATACATTTCTTCTGAACAATGAAGTTAAAGCTAGCTAATACATTGCTTTCTAGCAAGATTTAAATAGAGTTCCTGCATAATTTTTGGATTCCAACCATTAAAAATGTTGTTCTTCTGAAAATTGCTTCAAGATTATAGGTTTTGCAGAGCAGTTCTGCAAAATGAAAGCTATTTAGGCTGAAAATTCAGGTACTGGAGAAGCAATCTTACTCCAAATTTGTGTCAGAAAATACGTACAGGATAGCTTTGTCAGGCTTTAAGAAAAGTTTTTCTGGTTTATTTGGCTGCTTTATTTTGGAATATTTTTTTTTCATCAAAACAGTTAAAAACTTATAGAAATATTTTAAACTCTTCATTCAAACAAACAAGCCAAAAGGTATGTATTGTTTAGCCTGAAAAGTCCCATTCTACACATATTGGTAAATGCTCATATTGCAGTAGTTATATCAGGCATCTTTTTATTAAACTAAAATATCCAAAACTTAGCTTGAACAAGCCAAATTTTTTCTGGATCTTTTTCTGATACCCTCCAACACTTCCCTCTGACCATTTTCTCAGACTGGTATGTTATTGAAGATAATGGGCTGAAGACAAGCACAGATGAAAATAAGTGAGCATTCAGTAATAAGAATGGTCATAGAACAGTTTGGGTTGGAAAGGACCTTTGAAGGCCATCTAGTCCTACCCCTCTACAAGAAGCAGGGACATCTCTAACCAGATCAGGCTGCTCAGAGCCCCATATGAGCCTGACCTTGAGTATTTACCTGGAAAAAAAATTCTTATATCCAATATAAATCCACCCCTCTTCAGTTTAAAACCATTATCCCTTGTCCTATCTCAACCAGCCTTGCTAAAATGTTAATACCCGTCTTTCTTTAGGGCCCCTTCAGTTGCTGGAAGGCCTCAATTAGAAGTCCCTGAAGCCTTCTCTTCTCTAGGCTGAGCAGCCCAATTCTCTCAGCCATCCCTCTAGACATCTGCATGGCCAGAATTCATCTCTCCATCACCCTCTCTTTCCCTTCTCTCACCCTTCCCTCCCCCTCACAAACCCTCCCCCTGTTTTACTCCAAGCTTCAACACAACTGTGTTTCTCAATCTTTAATGGTCTAATAATGAAATTCTAAATCCTCTGTGAATTATTTAGAAAATAAAGTGGAAAAAGAACAACTATGGGTTAATCACAGACAGATTCACCTGGAACTTCCCTCTGCTTTCCTCTGTATTCCTTTTTGCTCCTTAGTAGTGCTCATGTAAATTCTGAAGAAATAGCTGGCACTCTTAAAATGATAAAACTGGCAGAGAGAGCATACATATTTCCAGTGCTAGAGGACCATGACAGTGAGCAAGCATTTCTGTAATTTGAAGACATATTTGTACTATGCCACTAACTTTGTTAACAGCATCATCATGTGTTTTGCAGTTGTAATGCAATGATTTCCAAGTGCTTTACAAGAAAAATACCCATTTAGTTCCAGAAGGATCCTGGCATTCTTAGGCCATACTGGAAGTGCTTTTGCAAGCAAGTCTTCAAAACAGTACCCTGGGATAAGTAGAATTGCCAATGTGGCATGTGATAAACCCACCACAGGTTCCACCAGCTGGCTGCACAGGTGGTTGGTAACCAGAAGGGATAATTGAGAACTCTTAACTGGGGAGTCCTTTGGCAGAATTGGGATTTGGATGCCAGGTGTGGAGTTTTGCTTCTGTGTTGCATTGTGCACAACAGGTACAGTGCTATTCATTCAGTCTGCCTCCTTGCTCAGTGTTTCTCCTTGCTTTGTCAGGTTTTGCTTTTGTTTTCGGAGGGACCACCACGGTCCTGTGTGCTCATGCTGAAGGGAATTTGTTGGATTTGATAAGCAGATGAGGTTTCAGTCTGGTGGTAGGAGCTATGAGGTGGGTATAGAAGATAAACCGAACTCTAATTTCTCAGTTGAGGTGTGAAAATATTTACGTTTAAGAATGGTTAGTATTAGATGTAGTTATGAAAGACAGACATAGTATTTTTCGTGTGACATAGTAACTGAAGATTGAGACAAAACTAGCTTAGCTATGATTTGGAAGTAATAGTGATGAGATAGTGATTGCTGAAGTCTTTCTGGGCATTGTTGTTTGTTGGGTTTTTTGGTTTGGTGGTGGTATTATTTTGGTTGGTTGATTTATGTTTGTTTTTGCTTATACTTCTAAAAGGTAAATTTATTCCTGTTTTCTTTCTCTTACTTCTGAAAGAAAGAGAGGGCAAGGGTTTCTTTTTCTTCCCTGCCTTTCTA